ATGGCTGCCGCCAATGTCTCAGTCCCTGGAGAGGTCTCACTTCTCACCGAGATGCACCCAGAGCCTATCAGGAGAGTCTCTTTTCACCAAAGGACTGTGAACCTTTCTTTCTGGTGATTTTAGGTTGCTTTCTGAAACAGGTGAATTTTTGCATGGGCCCTTTAAGAGCTGGCTTTTTTTTCCCTTACGTCCGATAGCTTTTCTGGGGGTATTCCCTGTTGTTGTTAGTAGCCAGCCAAGCCAGATATGACGCTCGTCTTGGTTGTGCTGGGACCAAAAGATGCTTATAGCAGTAACGCTCCCCTGCTCAGGCCCCCCACTCCTCCAGGGAAGGCTGTGTACCTTTGGATTACTCCTGGGAGGCCGTGAAGCACTGCGGCTTGCATAGGTGGCTTTTTTTCTCTCCAGAAGGAGAGAAGGGAATTTCTGCCTCTTCCACCTCAGTCAGGACTAACCCTTGTTGTGGGGGTTCTTTTAACCCAGCTTTCAGTTCTCTCAGGGGTAATTGTTCTAAGACTAGCTATAAATTTGTTGTGTCCGTGGGAGGAGGTGAGTTCAGAGTCCACCTACACCAGCATCTTGACACCAACTATATCTAAGTTAAGAATTTTGAGATGTGAAGATTATCCTGTATTATCTGGGTGGCCCCAGTCTAATCACATGGGTCCTTAAAGTCAGAAAACTTTTCCTGCTGTGAAGAGAGAGATATGTGACAATGCAATAATGATCAGAGAGATGCAGTGAGGCTGGCTTTGAGGATAACGGCAGGGAACAATGATCCAAAAAATGTGGGCAGCCTTCAGAAGCAGGAAAAGGTAAATAAATGGACTATCCTCTACATCCTCCAGAAAGGAACAAAGTCCTATGGACTTCTTGATTTTAGGTCAGTGAGACTTATGTCAGATTTCTGACCTTCAGAACTGTAAGATAATAAATTTGTGTTGTATTAAGCCACAAAGTTTATTGTAATTTTTTATAGCAGCAATATACAAATAATACATTTCATAAAACCAAAAAAAATTTCACCTTAATATGGTTAGATTACATATTTTAAAATAGCAATTTATATTTTTTCAAAATGCTGACATCTTTATATTTTTTTATTTTAAAATATATAATCTTTGTAAACTTCGACGTGTATCTTTCCAGATTTTTTCTATGCATGTATTAACATATTTAGAATTATAACTCTAAATAAATCTATTTATACTGTTACATTTCTATAACTTTAAATCAGTATACCATGCACAAGACATTATAAACATTTAACATTTTGCCAACTTAATTGTAAAAAGTTTTTTTTGAGATAAAATTTACAATGAAATGTACAAATATTGTGTTTCATTTAATGAGTTCTGATAAATGCATTCTCCTGTATAATCCAAATCCTTATCAAGATATAGAACATGACCATCAACCTGGAAAGGACCCTATGCCCTTTCTGGTATATCCTTACCCTCACTCATCAGAGGTAAACACTATTCTTATTTTTTCATGATAGCTTAATTTGGCTTGTTTTAAAACTTTAAATAAATAAGGTTTTAGAGCATGTTCTCTTTTGGTGTAATGGTTCTTTCATTCAGCCTAATGTTTTTGAGATTCACCCACGTTGTTGAAAGTATCAGTAGTTTGTTTCTTTTTATTGCAAAGTAGTGCACATTGTATGAATATACCAAATTTTGTTTATGTATTCTCCTATTAATGGACACCACACGTTTCCACTTTTGGCTAATATGAAAAAGCTGCAATGAGCATTGTTGTGGAAGTCTTTCTGTGTCTTCATGCCTTCATATCTCTTGTATAAATTCGTAGAAATGAAATTCTGGGATATGGGATAGGTGCATCAGTTCTTCTGTTTCCCAAAACCCATGTAGGGGGTGATATGGCACACCCACGCTGAGCCCAAGCTGAGGAAGACTATGTTTCAGAAACCTCCAGTCTTAGAAGTGGGCTGTTAGCAAACCCGCTCAAACCTTACCCCTGTGGGAGACATTATCTTATTGGCTGGAACTTAAGCAAATCTCCTCTGAGGAGAGGAGAGAGACTTCATCATCCTGGAATATTTCTGAGGAGGGAGACGTTAGTTTATACTGATAGGAAACAAATCTGCCCTTTAACCTGCAGGGCTACCTTATCTCCAGTTTTCAAGGCTGTTTGCTATTCAAACACGTTTGTAAAGATACTCTGAGCCAAGTGGAAATGCCACAGAGAATTGCCTCCCAACAAATTCATCTCACACAGCAGATTCTGGCAAATTTCCCCATGAAGAAACCACTCCACCAGACACTCTGATTAATTTGACCAATGGGGGCTGGAACCAAATCCATTCAATTTGTTTCCTGAAGCATTTAACAAATTTCATAAATCATAAATGTTTTAGGTCTCTAATGACCACCCCTAATCTGCAATTCACCACGTTTGCGTGAGGGAGGCAAGTGAATGTCTGGCTTTCCCGCAAGAAGTACAATCCCAAGGTCACACATGGTGTCCCTGAAGGGAAAGCATTTACAATTGTTGAGGTCCCTAAGGGGACATACCTCAGCCAGGGTGAAGATGGATATTGCCTCCAAAGTGGGCCCTTGGCCAGCTCTAAGCCCTAGAGTTCCCAGTTCCATTCACTGCATCTAGTCCTGATTTGTGGTGGCGGGGGGACTGGATGGACTTACTGATGACAGTCCATCCAATCTGTCCTCTTTGTCCATGACACCAACCAGGTGGTATTTGTTCTCCTCCCTGACACTGAATGACTGAGAATGGAGTGGGGCAATGGAGAGATTCTGCATGGGATGTGCTGACAATGGGGCCAGCCTCCATCTTCTTGTGTCTGGTGCAGAATACCAGACTCAGCATCTCTGTGGTGGGAGATCTATACCAGTTTTCCTTCTGGAGGAAGGATTCAGGGTAATTCTGAAAGACAGATATCATTAATGCTCCTCCATCCCCTGTATATCCTAGGGTTTATGGTGTTCCCTGGATTGGGAACTCAGTTGCCTGGATTTTTGCTCTTCCTTCACTGTCACAGACTCTGTGTGACCATTCCAGTGGTTGTAACTTCATCTTTCTTTCCCCATCATCTCCTATTGTCACTCAGACCTTTCATCCAGAAGGGTCAGATACAAGCAGAGCAAAGGCATTTTCATAAAATGTAATCAGAATTAAATCTGAATCCCCTAGGCACTCTAAAGGCTGTGCACTCCAGGCTGGTTGGGGAAAGAATGAGGCATCATCCCCAGGAATGGTCAGAACAGAATCCTGAGTTTTCAGAATTGGTCTATACAACCCATTAACCCCCCCCCCCCCCCACTTTTGTCCTGATCATGATGCAGGAAAGAGCTGATCCCTGTCTGGGAGCAGCTGTCTTCAGTGACCAAAGAGTCACACAGAGATGTGTGGACAGGAGATGAGGAACACTGATTCAGACAATCAGTGCATTGGGAGTAGCTTTTGATAAAGGGCACATTATTGTCAGACTGCAAATGATCCAGCCATCCAGACTCATGGCACCCATAAGTTTCCAGGGTCACACTATTGTGACCAGAGTCAGCTGGTCTGTGAGCTGAAGTGTAGATGATGTTGAAGCGCCGTCCATAGCCCCAAAAGTGGCTCAAGGCCTGTTCAGTGTGCAGGAGCAGACAAGGGCAAAGCCCCTTGTGACGTGGCTCCCCCCTGCCTTGGGATGAATAGGTCAGCTTCTAGCAGGAGTCACAAGCCTGGCGTGCAGCCATAGCCCTGCAGCAGAATCATGGTGTCAGCCTCTGTCAGCAGAGACCAGGCACTTACTCAGGAATTTCCATGAGGGGCCCAGACTGGTCAGTCAGCACCACAGTTCGTTTCTACAATCACAGCCCCAGAGATAGGGTGTCTTTACTCTGCTACTCTGTCGTTTTCCATGTGGCAGATGAAGCATCTAGGCCATGTACAGAAGCCCAGTTGTCTGACTTCTGCCAGCTGGAGGAGTGACCAAGTCCACTTTCTGTCTTGCAAAGCTGGCTCTGAGGGTGAGTGGCCATAGGAGCCCAGTGGACATCAGTTGTCAGCTTAGCCAAACATCAGGGCACCAGGCTCATGCCACCAGGGGAATCTTGGTGAACTGAGGATCCCACTGAGACTGAGGTTTGCTTTAGGCTGTGAGTGGGAATAGAAAACCGAGATGCCAATAGGGCAAAGGCCCCGCATTCTTGATTATACCATTTCCATTTGAAGAGCAAGGCTTTTGGACCCTCTCTGCTTCGTAAGCCCTGGAGTCTGAGTTGACCCACCTCAAAATGGGAATCTCTGGTGGGAGAGTCACAAGGCCTCCATCCATGGATAGGGGCTTCACTTTTGGTAGTAAAAGTTTAACAGCTGGCTGTTATTACAGTCATGACAATAATGACAAGATACAATCTCTTTACCCAGCGCCATGGTCTTCTCACATTCACATGTTTTCATATCATTCACAAGAAAGCGAAACTCAAGACAAAAACCCACTATAGTTCCTTGAGTCCTCCAGGAACTTCAGGTGCTGCATTAAATGGAAGTGAGAGGATTCGTGTTACAACTGCAAGTACAGAGATTATTTAATGAAAACTCTCCACGTCCAAGTTGTGACTGCCTCCTGCCTTCAGCACAGTATATTACCCACGACATTATTCAGCTATAAGGAGTGTGCCTCCTTAATGCACATTTGAATTTACATGAAAACACTTGAAAAGGGGACATACTGATATATAACCACAACAATTATCATTCTGTCTGAGGCACCAGCAGGAGTTTGTTTTCTAATTTTGTTTTCTTTTAATTTTCAAAGGAAAGTCATCTCCTATAGACTCCCAAGTCCATGCAAAGTAAAATATAACTCTATAATCAACCTTAACACTGCTACACTGGTAGTTAAGAAATTTGCCCTGTTCCCTTGGCGCAAGTCTGGAAAAAAACACTTGAAAACTACTGACATATAATGCTTTGAGAATTGTATTTACAGCTCTGAATGATTAACTTTATTATCTTTTTTTTTGAAGAAAAAAAGAAAGGGCATTCCTGGTCAAGAATCAAAAGGAAGTGGCAGGGAAACACACATCGAAAAGGTAAGCAGGCAAAGTGAATTAGTTACACTTTCTGAGTTTGTGAAGGCACTTCTTGTTGTGTTCTTGTGACCTGCGGTCACCTGAGGACCATGATAGTTTCCTTGTTACTATGTCAGTTTGGACATAGGCTAAGACACGGCAACGAAGAGGCCCCCCAATACAGCAGCTTCAACATAATGGTTTAGTTCTCATACATGTAATAGTCCAGAGCTAGATGATCCAGGGCTAATAGGAAGACATGACCATCTTCAATATGTGGCTTCTTTCCCGGGTCAAGAAATTTTTTTATTAATTTGGAGAGATGTTCCAAAGAAGGCTAAATGAAGATAGCAGACTGTATGTGTATGTGTGTGCATGCGGTAAAAAATATATTGGGTCTGGCCCTGTGGCTTAGCGGTTGAGCGCTCGCGGTCCGCTGCTGGCAGCCTGGGTTCAGAACCCCCGGCACACACCAACGCACCGCTTGTCCGGCCATGCTGAGCCGGCGTCCTGCATATAGCCACTAGAGGGATGTGCAACTATGACGTACAACTATCTACCGGGGCTTTGGGGAGGAAAGGGGACAAAAAAGGAGGAGGATTGGCAATAGATGTTAGCTCAGGGCCGGTCTTCCTCAGCAAAAAGAGGAGGATTAGCACAGATGTTAGCTCAGGGCTGATC